GAGGTGGCACTATTGTTGAGTTAGAACGATAGAATCATCGTATTGCTTTAGGGGACAGGAGGATTTAAAGGAGGTGCCTTGCAGCCCTATTTTACAGATCGGAGGCTTCGGTGTTAAGGGCACGGGCAGATCGCTTGCTTGTTCTCCGCGGCAGCCGCTGCTGTGTGTCGGGACAGTGTGGAATGGAAGTCCTAGTCGGTAGTCTGTTATGGAAACGCCGTTTACTGTTATTGTAGTACCGTGGTGACAACATGCCATTGAAATGGAAAACGAGCTCTCCTGCTATCTGGAAATTCCCAGTTCCTGTGCTTAAAACATCCAGGTCAACTCCACTTTCTCCAGCATACATGTAAGTGAGAGAAAATAGGATATTAAAGTGGGGTTTCTTTCGTGAATCAACCTTGTGGCAAAAGGGGGTAAAAACAAAAAACAAAAAACCATCCCAAACAGCCACATCCCCAAACCCACAAGAGTAAAAACCGCAAGCTGGCTTATAATGAAATATATGGGCATGCCCACATTTTACCGTCGGTTGCTTGTCCTGGGAGTTGATGTTTATTTTTATTTAACGTGCTTAATTGTCATCGGGTTACTAATGTACAAGTCTAAAGGTATACCTAAGGAATTGCTTAGGGATAGACTTTAATCTTTCAGGACGGGTGGATTTTATTTCGAATTTTTCTATATCTGAAATATTTAAGATGACTTTTGTGTAGTGGCACAAAACACTGCTGGTGATTGATGTTGGTGTGGTGTTAAATAGGGAAATGCTCTCTATAATTTTTGGATGAATTGGAAACATTCAGAGTTAACACATGGATCAGAAAATGAGCCTTGTAACCAGGACTTTTACACTTGAGTTGTGTATGAATATTAATAAGTTCGATGTTCTATCTTTCCCAGTTTTATAATGCCGGTTCTGAAGTGTAAGTTCAAATTTGTGCAAGTTCTAGTTCTGTCAATAGTTATGTACATACGTGGAGTTGAAAGATGTGTTCTACAAATGCCTGTTTTAGAAATTTATTTTAAGTAAATATATACTATAATATATTGGGAAGTCTTACTAGAATTTTTGAAAATCTGAGTTTTTAAATTTGCAAACTGTTGCCTTAGAAACAAAATCCAGGAGCTATAATGAGATCTTCTTTTAAAATATTGTCTGTGATCCTTTTTTTTTTTTTTCCTTTCGGTAGGGGAAGGCGTAAGGGAAAGCTGGACCTTTTTTTTTTTTTAATTTTTTAAATATTAGCACCAGAAAAGCTTTTGGAGTAGAAGCCTGTTTTAACTGTATTTCCTTTACAATATTTTTCAGCAGGAAAGCTGTGGAAAATTCTTCCTGCTTTAGGTTAATTGTGTGTTTAGAAAACCGATGAGTTGCCATTTTATTAGTTTTTGTTTTATATGAGGTTCAGAAGCACAGTGGTGTCTTAGTCTGGTTCTTTGAAAGGCTTTCAGCTGCTGAGGAAGTGTGCTGGTACTCTCAGTCCAAAGGAAGAGATTCCCTAGAAAGCGCTGAAAAATGAGGACATTTCAGAGTGAAATTCTGTCATCATGTCATTTTCAGATCATTTTTTATGTTCTTCCTGAGAGATGCTTCAGGTGATTTTATCTGTTTGCTTATGTGACTTTTCCTCTAAAGTTAAAATTTTAAGTCAGATTTGTAAAAGAAAGGAAAAAAAAGATCGGCTATATTTGTTTCTCAAAAGCTGAATTTGTCAAAAGCACAAATTAATGGAGGTGACAGGTTAATGGAGGTGACAATTTAATGGAGCTCCTTCAGATCATTTGAGAAAATGAGATGTGCCTGTTGACTTTATGAATCCTAGCTGGTGAGAAATGAGCAAAGATTTACCAAAAGCAACTTCATTGTAAAAACAAAACAAAACATACATACCCCAAAACTTGAAATCAGCAGGGTACAATTAATAATGGCTATTAATGAGTCTGGTATTCCTCCTATATTTTACCATACAGAGGATCCAAACTGTAGCTCCTGTTGTGGCCCAATTTTTAGAGATGGTTAAAAAATGTATATTGTATTCATACTAGCCATTGGCTCAGATACAGCTTAATACAGCATCTGTAATGAATCACTTTCCTCCTTTTAAGTACTCACCGCTTTGACCTGATGGTATGAGTGAATTGATTTAGGTGGTAGAAGCTGGAAAATACCACAGATCTTGCATGTTGATGTTGATTGTTGGTAGTACACAGAGGTAGAATGGGAAAATGTATTTGAAGGGCTAGCGTTAGGTTACACCATTTTGACATTGTGACAGGCCAAGTTATTAAATTGGCCTTAACTTATTTTTCTTTATAAATGAATTAATACAGGGTTTTAAATATCATGTTAATATACACAGGGAAAATATGTGAAATACAGGAAAAGACTAGCTTGGGGAGTTTAAATCAGGTGTCTAAATATATCATTTAGTTTTTGACTGTTTCAGATTGGAGTTCATTGTCTTACTTGGCCAGAAATAAAAATATCATGTGTAACACATTCTCATCAGAGCTTCTTTATATTCCACAACACTTCTGCACACAAAATGATACTTAAGTTGAGCGTGATTTTCACTCTCAAAAATTACAAGGACTAAGTTAGAAAACTGGGTCAAGTAACATTGTGTTTGCTCTCACAGTTGTTGGGTTAAATGGTTATTTGTGTCTTTGGGTCTAAAGTCTTTGCCCTGAAATAGAATAGTTTAATTCTGACTTTTTGGTCAATTGTGATATCTGAGAGTTTATCTATAAAATTATATCTAAACCTTTACAATATTATCTGGAATATAGAATTCTTGACAGTTAAGAGAAACATCTTTTTTTGTATGTTTGCTTGAGTCGTATCAGTATTGGTTTGTAGTGTTTCATCAATATGTATTGTGATTTGTCAAGTAACACATTCCGTGGTTTTCATTGAAGATTTGGGTCTATTTTTCAAAGACTGAAATTTCAATAAAAATCTTTTGGGCTGTAGTAAAAATGTGCTGTGGTAATTGAGCAAGTATGGAAAAAATATAAGGGCTCCCTAATGGTCTTGTTCTCAGCCCAGTGTAGGTGCTGCTTAGCTGGAGCTCCTTTATTTTTTTAGTTTTTATTTTTTTAAAAGATTTTATTTATTTGTTTGACAGAGAAGGACAGCTAGAGAGGGAACACAAGCAGAGGGAGTGGGAGAGGGAGAAGCAGGCTCCCCACCAAGCAGGGAGCCCGCTGGCGGGGCTCCATCGCAGGACCCTGGGATCATGACCTGAGCCGAAGGCAAACGCTTAATGACTGAGCCACCCAGGTGCCCCTGGAGCTCCTTTATTGATGCTATAGGTAGGGCAGTGCTTCTCCTCCCGTGAAAGGTACAACAGAAACTTTTCACTTACTGCAAACATCGAACAGAAAAGCGATTTTCCCCTTGTGGATTTCAAATCCAAGTTTGCCTTCTTTCTGCTTATTTAAAGCTTGAATGAGAGGTGCAGCCTCTCTCCATAGTATACTCAAGACTGATGATAAGGACAATGTTGATGACGATATGAAGGAGAATCGTCTCTTATATAGCATAAAGCGCTCTTCAAATTGTGTTATTCTATGATTCAGGAATAGTGGGAGTACCTTAAAGACAAAAGATGGAGGAAAAAAATCCTTTGCCTTCAGGCAGCTTGGTTACCAAATGCTTAGTCTTTACTGGGTAGATTGAGTCTTCCTTCAGCTTCCGTTTTGAACCCTTGAAGGGTGGTGTGCCATCCATGTGGAATTTGTGTTACACTCTGTTCAACAGTAGGTTGAAGTTCAGCCTTAGCCTGAGGGAGGATCTCCTGGTCAGTGTAAACTGAATTAGTAAAGACTCCGTTCCTGACAGGTGTGAACCATATAAATTAACCTGTCATTTTGCCTAAATTAATAAAGCTGAAAGGGCAGTCACATCTAAGTGGTTTTCTGGTATTTTGGTATTCATTGTTTTTAAACAGCAAATGGTTCCTTCGGGCTAATGTTACAGGGTTAATGTATTGCTAGTTTCTAAGGGCACGCTGAAATAGAACAGGATTAGCATTAGCGATCTTTTTATCTTTTTTTCACAAGCTGTAAGTTTTGATAACAATGGTGTGGCAATAAAGAGGAAGACAATGGGTAGGAATTAACCAGTGCAATGTAACAGTGAATTTTCCAGCAAGACAGACACACGGTGGGATGTTTTCCTTCGAATTTTACCTTTCTCAAGCAAAAAGACAATGACTGTAGGATGAGTGTTAGTGAATCAGACTTGTGCCCCTTAAGCTAATGAATGCACTTGCCTTCGGTCAGCTCCCTGTTTACGGTTATTTTGTTTAATATGTAAAATAGAGTTTGTAGTAAATACCAACAGCACAGTATTTTATAGCAATTGTTTTCTATCATTGTATCATTAAAATGCAGTATCTAGATTTCCTGAGAAAAGACTGTGCAGACTGTATAAGTATCCCTTGTTTATGGGTGATTCAAAAAAGAGAACAAATAAAAATAGGCATTTTAAAAAATTTGACACATTTTCTATTCCCTAAGGTTGTCTTTTTTTCTAATTTAGTGATTACAACAAAACCTCGTGGTTTTCGAAGTCATTTTTTACTTGGCAAAATACTTAAATTGATCATCTCAAATTAGAAAAGAATATATGCAGCTATTTTCACAGTTACCACATACATAAACTTTTATTTCTGTCTGCTTAATTTGTTTTTACTACACGCTCACTCTAAC